GGGATGAGAGAGAGAGGTTTTTTTTTTATGCAACCAATCGATTTGTTGAAAAAATAATCGGGCAACTAATCGATTTATGAAAATGAGCAGCCCTAGTATCGATGCATCCCTAGATAAAACAGTTGTCTGCTTTCAGCATAACTGAAACCTAATCCTGCTAATGATGTGAAAAAGTAACTAGAGCTCCACCTGCTGGCTGGATAGAGGACTACATTATATTGATATGCAATACTTCATATTTACTAGGGATGCACTGATACCGTTTTTTTCGGTATCGAGTACCAATATTATTTTTACGGTACTCGCTCATACCGAATACCCGAAGTCCCATTAATGAAGCCTTTTTCTCTCGCCAAGCCGAAACGGTGTCAGCTACACCTCTCATCTGCCTTCATCCTGCATGGGACACGACCTACATTTCATTCACCTTCATCTACCTGCAGGGCTCATTGCGCTGGTTAATATAGGCCATTCTTCACCATTGGTTGGGTACAGTCACAAGGCGGATCATCACTGGAAAAGGTCGTAGTACATACACAGATCTGTAGGCTCTCCCTGAAGTGGTCATCCATATGCAAAGGAGAATTGCAGAATTAAAATGGAGATGTGGTAAAGGTAAAAACAAGAAGAAAAAAGCTGAAATTAAAGTCAAAAGCTGGAGACATCAGGCCGTGAACCCGGAACAGCACTGAATACAACAGCAGAAACAATTGAGACATCAACCACAGAAACGTCTTCAGCTACAGGGTTCTCCATCCATACTGTAGGCTGTCCAAACACCGCCAATGAGAGGAAGTGCAGCCTGACGGCAGGAGAGGGCAGAGAGATTATTATTGAAGAATTTTTCCCTCTGCGGACTCATCAATAGAACTATAAGTAAAAGACACTTGACTTCCAATGCTGCTCGGAGGAAAATAGTATCTTGCTGCTCATAATCCCCGATCATACACCTCCTATATACACTATTTTATTCACCTTTTATATCAGTAGATGTGTTTTATAAGAATTGTATGCACTTTGGCTTGTAGCTTTTGACTGGCCATACAAATAGTTTTTATTCCATTTTATTCATATTTTTATTTTCCAATTTTTGATTGCCAGATGGAATAATTCACCCGTACACATTTTTCAACCAGATTTTATTTATTTATTATTCACAATATAACTTGTTTCCACACGACAATATTTATTTACATATGCTACGCATATCTTGTGATATTTACATTGTTAATAATATTCAATATTTATTCACGAACACATTTACCTTCCTTTTTTCGACTTGTATTTTCAGTATACAGCCGCAATTAGGATTTGATCACTGGCACTGTATTTAGTTTGTGATATTTTCACATTTCCACACAACTTAAAGACTAATTAATAGGTGGATCACACATAACCAAGCGCAGCACCCCGGCTTACACAATGAAGCCAGGCAGTGTGTAAAGACTCGTTACCCGGCTTCCCGATTAGCACCGCGTCATTACACGCCGCCCGGCTTCCTGATGGGCCAGCTTCCCGACCAATCATCAGGAAATCGGCCAATGACTTGCTGCCTGGCTTCCTCATACTGGAAGTATCGGGCTAGGCATCGGAGCATTTGGGGCGAGTACTCGCCCAAATACTCGGCATCGGTACCGATACTAGTATCGGTGCATCCCTAATATTTACCATAGGAAAAAATAATATTTTTCGAAGTCTTGACCATAAGGAAAAAAAAAAACCCTGTACATTACTATTCTACATTGCTTTTAGAGTGTAACTAAAGGCAAAATATGAAATCTGAAGCTGTCTATGAATACAACATTGTGAGCAGGCAGGCACTTTATTACACATTATGTCTCTTCTGTAGTAACACATACGTTCTTACATGTTCATAATCTTGTTTTGTTGAAACATTGAAACGAATGTTCTTGCGACAGGGTTTCTTTAACCTCAGATCTAGTAGTAATGTGCTTTGTATAAATGCTATTTTTAAATTATGGAAATCCCTTTGAAAATATTTTCCAGCCCTTGAGCGTATTGTGCTAAGCGTTAGACGTTACAGCAAGCTGGGGAATTTCAATAACGAGGCTGACTTATGATTGTTAGTGTTTTGATGAATCTGTCTGAATTACAGCTCCGTGCATCTCGGATTCCACAAGAAACACAGAGAGGAATGTTAGCGCAATGCTCACAGCAAAGTCCGCTATCCATCACACTCTCAACTTGGCTTTTTGTTTTGTCAAAGTTCCTGTCTGTACCTAATTCTGGAGGTCCTTGGTTTTGAAATGGCGGTTTTGGCGTTTCTATTCCATACACACTACGCAGGGCTCATTGAGATGCTTAGGAGAGTTTCTAGCATTCCCATGCACACCTTCGCATCCCTGAAAACAAGATTGGTACACTCGTGTCTGCCATTGCACCCTCTTGTACTGAGCCATGGTAGAGCCGGGAATACACAGTCCGTGAACAAAATTCTACAAATGCTTTCTGGCATCACTTTCTCTCAATACTGGAGGGATATTACACAAGTGCCGCTGACACCAATGTATGGGGGCTGATTTTACTATTCTCACTGGCACCAATGTATGGGGGCTGATTTTACTATTCTCACTGACACCAATGTATGGGGGCTGATTTTACTATTCTCACTGACACCAATGTATGGGGGCTGATTTTACTATTCCCACTGACACCAATGTATGGGGGCTGATTTTACTATTCTCACTGACACCAATGTATGGGGGCTGATTTTACTATTCCCACTGACACCAATGTATGGGGGCTGATTTTACTATTCCCACTGACACCAATGTATGGGGGCTGATTTTACTATTATCGCTCACACCAATGTATGGGGGCTGATTTTACTATTATCGCTCACACCAATGTATGGGGGCTGATTTTACTATTATCACTCACACCAATGTATGGGGGCTGATTTTACTAATATCGCTCACACCAATGTATGGGGGCTGATTTTACTATTATCGCTCACACCAATGTATGGGGGCTGATTTTACTATTATCACTCACACCAGTGTATGGGGGCTGATTTTACTAATCTCACCGACACCAATGCATGGGGGCTGTTCCCATCAACACGAAGTATTGGGGGCTGATTTTACACCAATGCTCGGACTGATTTTACTTTCCACTTGAAAATTCACTGTGTTTATGTGGTTGCATTACTTATGCTGTATATACTTGTATGCATGAAGCTGAATGGCATTTGGGGAAAGCAGCAGGGTGTTCTGGCTATTGTGCTGTCACCTTGGCAGTTACACTCTAGTGGAAGTTGGTGCTTGTCCTCATTACATGTAAATGTTCTTTTCCTCCTCCAAATGTTTCCTGTGTAGAAGTTGACCACAGGTCATCTTATGACAAGTATGTGCCTGGACTGCTGTCCAACTAGTGTAGGATATTTATGGCTGCTCCATTCAGAGCTAAGCAGTAGGACAGAGAAGGTGACAGGTTAAAGGACAAGAAGAGTCCCTCTGGCTTGTTCCACAACTGCAATGAACTTCATAGTGAGACAATAGCTTGGAATAACAGGCTACAGATGAACTTCAGGCTTACCTTCAGTTTTGCACAGATGTGAAAAAGAGCCAAGAACTGAACCGGTGCTCCACTTTAAGTTTTGAGGACTGACCAAGAGCAGACATCACGAGATACCTGCTGTCCTCTGCATTATCCAGAAAAGCTTCTTCTATGCCCCTCTCTAATTTGGTTTTGTTTCTTGGACCTGCCTTCCTTTTAAATTTATGGTGAAGCCATTTAAATGTCTAGTAAATGCACTCGCTGGACAGAGATTGGCATTAGGCCGATCTTAGCATTGAAGTCAGGGAAAATTAGACTCCAGTACCAAATCAGAGATGGGACACAGAAGAAGCTTTTCTGAATAATAAAGATAATGGTGACTGTTCTTAGGCAGGGCATCTACCTCCTTCAGTTTTAAAACTGATTATGGTTCACTTAAAATGTTTGTAGAGTACCAAAAGATATGTCTTGTTTTTATTTAACATTTTAGATTATATTTTATGTTTTATCTTGCAGAATCCTGTTAAAAGCATTCCGGATTCACATGAAATCACGCTCCAGCACGGCACAAAAACTGTAAGTACAATTGTATCGAAGATGTAATTAAAAAAAAATCAATTGATTCTAAATGTTTTTTTTTTAATCTTAAAAATGCTGGCTACTTTTGTTCCCCATGGTCCCTGTGTGTGTTGTAAAGTAGTCACCACTCCAAGCTCACTCATATGGTGGACTACAATCTCAGTACCAATTAGTAATCTAAACATGAGATTGTAGTCCATCACGGGAGTGAGCTTGGAGTGGTGAGTACTTTACAACACACACAGGGAACAAATGTAGCCACGCTCCAGAAGGAAGGGCAGTGTCAGCACCAATTCAGAGATGATTTGAGGATCTACGGCCGATTGATAAACAAGATTAATTTTTGTTAATAGTTACCTGAATTAATTTTTAGGATTTAAAGAGTTAAATGTCACTTTAATTTGTGTTTATGGAGCAATCATCTGATAGTTTCAGCAAAAAGCCAGCACAAGCTTTAAGTTTACTGGGTCATTATAAATGTTCACACTAACATCGGCATCCTTAGGTGGAGGACGTTCCCACCAGCTGCCCTGGACTCTTCCACATCACTGGATCTTGGTCCACCACTGATTAACTTAAAAACTCATTCCTTAGGTTTTTTAGGCCCATTCTGGTGTGTATTTTCCATCTCCTCCACTCGGGGTACACATGCCCTTGGCCTGGTCAACGTCCATGCCGAGCATTTGTTGACCTCATACCGAAGGGACTACCTCCCTCCCCTCTTGATGAAGCGCCCGTTGAGTCCACAAGCTATGCTTCTCTAGCATTGCAAACCAGTTATCACCCCTATAGGCACTGTTCCTTGCATCCGAGGTTAATCAATTTAACCATTATTATACTTTTTTGTTGCCATGATGTTGTATCTTATATGTTCAGGTCCGTGACCATCTAGCTAAACCTCATCCTATGCTATTTAGGGGGTGATAGGAGGTTTTGTTCCTCTGAGGTGTACGTGTGTTTTTATACCATTCATGCATATCCAATGCTTTTTATAAATTACTTGTTTAAATACATTTATACTTTTTATATATTTTTGAGACCTGAAGTTTTTTGGACTTGTTCTTTCTGGAGCCTCAAAAAAACCCATCTTTCTCTGTCCTCTTGTTTCCTAACAATGTAAAAAAATAACTTTTTCTTTCTCAAACTTTTCAGTATTTTTTCCTTAATATAGTAAAAAATAAAAACCCCAGTGGTGATTAAATACCAGCAAAAGAAAGCTATATCTGTCCCAAAAAATGGTATAAAATTAATTTCAGTACAGCGTTGCATGACGGAATAAATGTCAGTCAAAGTACTGCAGTGCTAAATACTGAAAAATGACCTGGTCAGGAGGGGGTGTAAACACCGCGGTCAGAAAGTGGTTAAAGGGGTTTGATGTTGTCTAAAAATGTAATTTTTGGTGACACCATATACTCTGGATTTTGCATTTAGTGTGGAGTGCTGGCTTATCTATCTACTTGACCTTTTGGTTCATTTGACTGACGGTAGCTCTGTATTGTATGTGCGCCAAAGTCAGCAGAGCCTTCATTCACTTTCACCGATGCCACTGCGCCTCCAATTTAACATGGAACCATTAAAATTGCAGGTCCTGCTTTTTACAGCTCATAGCTTAGTGTTTTGTGACTTTAATACACCTTGCCTTCTTAATTCTTGGCTAATCTATTAAATACAGCATAAATCTGCAGGAGCGGTTCACCTTACAGATCATATATTTTTTGCGACATTGCTGACCAGACTGGCTCAGGTAGACATACCCGGCAGGAAGGTAAACCTCTGCTTTTTGTGAACATTTTGGAGTGCTGGCTTATCTATCTACGTGACCGGTTGGGTCATGTAGACAGGTCCACTTTAAGTATCATATATTTTTCTATTACATGCAGGATCGCTGCCTAGACAGGTTCAGATAGACGGATTCGGCACAGAGGGCATCTTTTGTGTTTGGCTTACAATTGTTTGACAAATCCCAAGAGACTGGTAGCCTAAACATTTTAGGATATTTTTACACAATTTCTCAGTTACAAAAAACGCATGAAGTTGTCTGACATTTTATTCAGTCTACTGAAGCACTTAATGTATACACTCATAATAAAAAAGGCCATTCTCAAAGCCATGTAATTTTAAAGTGGAATATATAGTCTTTTCAATGTTTTTTCGGTATTGCGTTGTAATAGTGAAGCACTATATCTTATTAGTTTTATCAGTCTGTGTGTTACTGGAAAATATTACTAAAACAAATTCAGTACATCTCTGCAATACATGCACATATTGTATCATTTCAAAAAATGCTTAAAGTACAGAAAAATACCTATTGATCTGCTAGAAATCCAATGTGCTCCTTACTTCCTGTTTACGGCAGAATCTTGCCATGTGTGATACATATTGGGGAAGAGGATTGGCCATACATAGGATCTTATGAAATGGAAATACAATTAAATGTAATGTAGAATGAATGCACGTGGCAGAATCTTGCCATGTGTGATGCATCTTGAGGAAGAGGATTGGCCATACGTAGGATCTTATGAAACAGAAATACAATTAAATGTAATGTTAATCTGTAGAAAAGTTGATCAGTAAAAGATTTCCTACTATCTTATGGACTTGGCTCAGTTCTTATATTACACTTCATGTCTACCAGCTGATTCCAACAAATGGAGACTTGGGATTTTAGACAGCTTTTGTTGGAGCAAGACACGGGTCATGCAAGTTCTGCAGATGAGAATCTCAAAATTACCTCTTAAATCTTGTGCTTGAAAACTTTGACCCTTACAAGAGACCTTTTGAAAGTGTCCAGTAGAGTGAACCTGAACAGGGCCCTGTGATTAATGTGCCTGCTCTCGGTGACAGATAAAAGGAGGTGACACACAGAGGGCTCTGTTCATGAACCACAGGAGGAAAGTCTCGCTGTTCCTCTGTGTATTGAGGGATTACTTACAAAAGCACATGGTAGTTAGATGTCAGGGAAGGCAAGCTTCCATGTGTTGATACAACCAAGGAGACTTCTCAGCTCCTTAGTGACAGGACAGCTGGTGCCCATGGTTGACCTAAGTGATCAGATATGCTGTAAAGGTCCATGTTAATCACTTGTAGGTATCCTTAAACAGAGGATTTCCATCAGTTTTGTGTATATTACAGCATGCTCGGGGACAGTAGTGCAGCAGAGGATGTAGGGCTCTGGTGGATATTTTGAACCATGGCTTAATAGAAACCTGTGCTTATAGAGTGATCTGTAACAAGCATGCAGATCAGGGGTTCTGACCTAATATGTTGGTCATTGACTTGGAATGCATTGTCAGAAGAGCAGCAGTACTGTCAGGCTACCAACATTTTGGAAGGAGCTATACAAGGACAGCCTCCTAGTTTGTCTCTGCATGATTTCCTCTTACAGGTTATCCCTCATTGGCTCTTCCATAGGCCCCCCTTAGTGCCCTGCATTACTAAAGTACTGAAACAGTTATGCAGGTTGTTGGTTGGGAGATGTGAGCTCCATTTCCTCCAGTAAGAACCTTACAGTAGAGCTCTTGGCTGCTAATGTAAACGGGTACTGAAGAGTCATGATATAACATCTTGCACCTCTGCTCCACGTGGCATAATGGTTATTTGGGACTAAAAAACATGCATGCGTCATACACTCTAGGGCAGTGGTTCTCAACCTGTGTAACCTCGGGACCCACATGTTTCCTTGGTCATTAAGGCGTGACCCAAAAATGATTTCATTTCTGAAACATTTTAATTTATTACACAAAACAACTTGTGCAGTATTCAGCAATATATATTTTGATGAAAGTAAATGAATTAAAAAAAATTAAAAAGTTTATAAGGAATAAAAATTAAATATTTAAAAAAATTAAAATAAAAACGTGTGGGGGTGGCGGTTGCGGGGTACAGTTCCAAAACTGGAGAAAGTGCAGCGAAGAGCGACTAAACTCATAAGAGGCATGGTGGAGCTCACCTATGAGGAAAGATTAACTGACCTGAATTTGTTTTCTCTGGAGAAGAGGCGATTAGGGGGGGGACATGATCACCATGTATAAATACATAAATGGTCCATAGTGAGCTGGGTGCCAAATTATTCACTTTAAGGTCACCGCAAAGGACAAGTGGGCACTCTTTGCGTCTGGAGGAAAAGAGGTTTAACCTTTGCATACGGAAAGGATTCTCCACCGTTAAAGCTGTGAAAATGTGGAATAGACTCCCCCAGGAGCTAGTTCCAGCTCGCTCAGTTAACTGCTTTAAAAAAAAATCTGGATGTATTCCGAAATTCACAGAATATTACTGGATATTGAGTTCTTATAGTTATATATGAGGCATCAGAGATTGTTGATCCAGGAAATATCCGATGGCCTTATTGGGTCAGGAAGGATTTTCCCCCCCTGTTGGAGTAAGTTGAACCGTGCTTGGGGGTGGGGTGGGGCTTTTTGCCTTCCCCTGGAGCAACAGGGGGTAATTGTGGGCATAGTGTTCTGTTTAGGCGTTTCTTTTTTTTTTTTTCTTCTCTATAGGTTGTACTCGATGGACTTGTGTCTTTTTTCAACCTCACTAACTATGTAACTATGTGAGATCTTACCCTACTTCTCATATTGCGCATGCAATATTTGAAAGTATACTAAAGTGACTGGCTCCTATTATTCTGTCCATCCAAAGGAAAGAATCGCACCTGAGGGCTTGTTCACACCAAGTGCGGAGCAGATGCAGAGCAGAGAAGTTACAGAACGGATCAAAACTGCATCCAATGTATTCCAATGGTATTTAGGGCTCTTGTTCACACCACAGCGTTCGGTTCCAGAGCATGTGGAAAAACTGCAGCATGCCCTATTTTTTCTGCTCTAGAACGCACCATAACGCATGCAAATGCCCTGCAACGCACTGAAAGCCCATTTTAGGTTTAATTTTTTTTAAACGGCCAAAGACAGAAACGCGTTGAAACATGCTGCACTGCATGTGCAGAAACTCATTCAGATCTGGTCTGCATTTGTTGTGAACAAGCCCTGAGAGTGAATGAATGTTTCTGGGACTTTACTGTAAGTAAGTGGACTTATACCATTTGTAATGTAGCTGTTACCTCAAATCATGTCAGTTTAGTTACCGATAATGTTACATGCGTTTTACTAATGCTTCACTCCTAAAAGGAGAAATGCGAACGACCTAAAATACCACATAAATTAATATAATATTAAAGTGGTACCACACTGGAATTAATAGTTTGGGACAGGCAGATATCTTCCTGTCTTTTTTGGAGCCTTGTCCTAATTTTTGAAGGTTAGTGTGAGTCTCTTTGACTTCTTGCATATTTCAGTTATAACATATGATACAGTGCATTTGATGCAGATGTTTGACAGTAAAGCGTTATAGTAACACTGTGTCTGTGATTGAAAGAGATAATATACTAAAATAGATGTTACATCATATGATTCTTTAGATTGTGCTCTTGTTCAGATCACGGAGTTTACAAGCTAAGGTTCACATGTGAGAAGCCCACCCAAGCCTTTTGTTAATATCTGTGCTAAATTGTGCACTTAGAATGTTTGGATTTATCATCTCCACTGTAGAGGAGGAACTGCATTTAGTCTAACTGATGACTAGATAAGATCTTTTCACAAGGTGTTTACCCTTTTTCTTAGTAGAATGACTGAGCACTGGCTCTGGCGAGTTAAACCTACCAATATCTTGGTTGGATTTTTTTTTTTGTTCTTTTTATTTAAAGGGTTATTAAAGCCTTGCATATTTTTGCATATATCTATTGATAGCTAGCAGTAGATCTATGCAAAAAAAATTTCTGAACTTTTCAAAACGGTTAAAACTTACTCGTGTCTCCGCCGCGCGCTCCCGTCTGATCATCTGAAGATTCTTGGGCGCCCGCAAAGGATCTTGGGGCGGGCGCATGCGCAGTTCAGATCTTAGGCCAGGAGACGAAGAGAGACACAAGGTAAGCCAATGCAGCAGCGTGCACCCGCACAGACACCGTGGGACAGGAAGTTCCAGCTGAGAGAGAAGTCAGTGCTGGATCGGAGACCGGCACCAGCACTGGAGTGACTCCCGAAAACTACTGGAAAGAAGAAGATGATCGGATCAAGAGGCATCATTTAAGTTGGGGGGGGATTTATCCTTTAATGTAACTTTAAGGTAGGCTGGGGTTGGTTAAATCACAGGAGCCAGGCCACCCTAATAATGACAACAGACATCTTAACTTTTTTTTCATTGTTGTTAATGGAAGCGCATACGGCCTGGCTCCTAAATTGGTATACGTGGTTTAATTCCTAAAATACATGGTTTGCCTAAAACAAAAAACAACTAAGCATATAACAGTCTAAACTGTAAACTAAACAGTATAATAGTCTATACAAGTGGCAGATGTAATTTTTATGTGGTGATCAATCCTCATAAAGTAAACAAAAACCTTCCTTTACCTTCAATGACTGAGCTAAATCCAATTTCATATGTCTTTCACATGACTCAGTCGGTGGGTTTAAGCAACAGAGGCATTGTTGTCAATCCAGAAAGCAGCGGTCAGGACTAGATGTGGCTTGTTGCTGATTGGCAAGCTACAGGGTTTTGAATCAGCAATGGCAATGCCGATAGCCATGTCTACGGCAACATTTTTACATCCCACTGTGGCGCAAGAAGGCTAAGCCTATATGAGAGTGGCAACTCTGCTTTAAATTTAGGAGCAGTGCAGTATTGTTGCCACACCAACACAGGAAGCTGTGTTAGCTGGTCCTGCAGTGCAGATTAATTATACATACTGTAAATGCTATTGCACATTTTTTAATAAGAGACCATAGTTATATTTTAAATAACAACTTTTCCAACTGTTTACGTGATTACATGGTGAGGAGGGCACACAGAGGATATCCTTCATGTGCTACTGCTTCTTCATTGTCCAATAAGAAGTCTGGGGGAGGAAAGATGACTAATGAAGCAGACTTTTTATTTGCCACTTTTTTCTTTAGTTGCTTATCAGATTGGTGATTACCATTACCATGGTTTCATAAGGAAGGGAGTGCTGTTGAACTGTGCATGTAGAGGATGCTTGCAGCTATAAGAGTAAGGTAGGTCACGTAATTAGGGTCCTCAGTACAATTTGTGCAAAGAGTTGTTTTATTATCATGGTAATATTGTGTGATATGTGCTGTTAAAACTCAAAATATAATTAAAAATGTGATCCTTGAAACAGTCCTAATGTTTTCAGTCACTGTGGACATTTTTCTATTTTGAAACGACAACAAGTTATAGGGGCCAACTTACACATCTGTATTTTAAAAATGCATGCATTAAAACGATGGAATTTAACATTCTTTTTGTATCAATGCATTTGATGATGCGTTTTATTACACATGAGGTTTACCATAGTCAAACACATCTGCATCAAAATGCAAAAACAAATGTACACTGAAAAACATCAAAATACATGTAAAATACATAAAAATATACAAGATAATTGTGAAAATGCATGTATGCTTATAACATAAGATATCTATAGCCAGAACTCTTTTTATGTTTTGGATAAAGTAGGGAAAAGTTTAAACCCCATCATGTTACTTTTTGCTGTCTTGCTGAAGAGATTTCCCTTTACCTCTTGTCTTGTAGAGGTAACAGGAAGTGAGAGAAAATTTCCTTAAAATTAAGGGCATTCAAATGACAGTTGCCATCAGAACATTTTATCCCCATTGGATGATTTCCCCTCACCTATTGCTCTCGTGACAACTCTAAAATGTTGGCTTTCCCCTCACTTTATGTCCTGGTGGCAATGATATCCAGGACTAATAGAAGGTTGAATCGGCCCAGGAGGGACACAGACAGCAATAAAAAAACATTGCAGATTGTCTGACCTTCCTACTCCACTTCAATCTACAACTACCAAAAAGCATTTTACCTTTATGTACACTTCATACCAAATGTGGCCAGATGTTGGGAAAGGATCTAATGGCCAAACAATGCTTTCTCAAGCTTCTAATCACATAACCACTGTCTCACAACTGAGACTGAGATGCAGGTTGACATCCACGCTTTTTTTTTCACTCTCATTTTTGCACCAAGGATAAATTGAAGGTTCGTTTTGTCATTGCAGCTATCTGCTATGGGGTTGGACCCTTCTGGCGCACGTCTGGTAACCGGAGGTTATGACTATGATGTAAGGTTTTGGGATTTTGCTGGGATGGATTCATCTCTACAAGCTTTTCGCTCACATCAGCCTTGTGAATGGTAAGTGTATACACAAGGTGTACCTATATTCAGATTTTAACATAAAGCTACAGTCTTTTAGAGATGGATATGTAATGGCTGATAATATTTGTGTCGTTTTACTGAAGAAAATTTTGCTCCAGGCTTACTTCAGTGCTCACCATATATTAGTTTTTTCTTCTCAAATGTGTTGCCTACATTTATAAAAAGAGCTAAAGTTGAAGGCACCCTTCAAACCTGAAACAGCTGGAGAAGTCTGGCCATACAAAGACTATCAATCTTTTTTTTTTTTCGTTCAACCCGTTGGCTGAATGAAAAAAATCGATGCGATTCTTCCATCAACACAAACAGCGTGTCGATTAAGGAATTGTTTGCAGTGATAGCCTTTAAGGCCCCATTCACACTAAGCGACATACCTTACAAGCGGATCCGCGCGGCTGGGATAGCGCGACTGTTCGGGGCGACGTTCCAGCGACCTTCACCGTCGGGCTGCATGCAAAAAAAGAAAAACCGTGCGACATCCGCGGGAAAAAGGGTCCCGCACACGCGACGAGCGTCACGGAGCTGTTCAATAGAACAGCTCCATTGAAAATCATTGGCCGGCGACTTCTCGCGTTATCGCGCGGCAAAAATGCGCGGAAATCCGCTAGGTGTGAATGAGGCCTAAAGGTTGTTCAAGAAAATTATGTAAGGTAAATCCGTGTACAAAAACCAACTACCCTTCCTCCTTTGCCTTTTTAGAATAAAAAAAAAATACTCTTTTTCCCAGCCTTGTATTATTCTCTCTCTCTATACAGTCTTCTAACCATAAAGTTTCAGGTATAATGTTTTTGAACCTTTGTATCCTTACACTTGCAAGTTTGTATGGTTACTTGTATTCTATGCCTACACTGCTGAAGGAAACAGATGAAAAGCAGACTCTGTTGTGTGTTTTTTTTTATTTTTTTATTTGTTGTTTGTATCAAAAGCACAAAACAATAAAAACTTACTTTCAAGATATAAAAATACTCACTTTCTGGCTTGAAAACCGCTGTACGCCATCCCGGAAGTCAGCACAGCACGTGAATGCAATCTCTGGAAACCCTTCAACTTTGCGTATGTGCATCCCCATAGGCTGTAATTGAATTCTGCCACTACCTGTCAAGCTAGTTCTGTTTTTGAGTTGTACATGGCTTTATCCTTTTTAGATTTGGGTGTGTGCCTATCATTTGATCTCCGGCTCTCTTCAGAAGTCTGGAAATGACAGATGAGAGGGGCAGGGGGGTGAAAATCTGGGAACTCCTGTCTACAAACATTCTAAGGAAAGACACATATATCAAAAGAAAAAGAAAGATATATTTACTAAACTTAAATTATAAAAAATATATTTCTGTAGAAATTATTCAGTAAACAAAACAAAATTAGTTTTTCTTTGAATATGTGAATGAGGTGTTGTTTCTGTTCTGAGAACACCCTTCCATTGCAATTATAAAAGGTTCTAGGTGATTCTGAGAAATAAACAATCTAATTATCTTGAATTAGCATATTTCAGGACCATTGCATTGTACACAGTACAGTGATTTAGAGACGGTTTCTCAGGCTGCGGGTGGTAGGGTATGTGTAATACTAGATGGTATGGAGCAACATTTTACTGTTCACAGACTTCTATCAATTAGTCTCATGCTGGGAACCTCCCTGTTTGGAATAAGTGATTAATGGAGGAAGAAGATTTGAGTTATCCATGCGTCCCCCTACCACGGCTACTTACACAGCCAGTGATATAATATAGCATTGTAAAAGGGCTGGTTGTCTAAAACCATGCTGCCATGTGTTAGGCTGCATTGTTCAACACAAGTGCTTGGACATCAGAAACTGCATTGTTTCCAAGAGGGCCTGTTCCCACCGACAGGTTGCATTGGTAAAGAGACCTTCATTATGTATTTTCCATGTGTTGCTTTGCCTGTGTCCTTTGTGTCCACTGAGTGGGGCCCTTAAACACCACAGTTTATTTGAGAAACCATGATAACACTCAGAATATCACTATCTTCTCTCTCTGTTGAACACTACAGTGTTTACCCTGCAGTGTCCCCGAAGAGTTAATTCCTCTGCATAACACTACAGAAAGAACCTTGATTGGAGGAGAGGCTGGTCACATGATTTTGACAGGTCTGGGCTTTCATTCATTGCAATTCATAATGTAGATTTGTAAATCACAATGCTGCCGCAATAAGGTCATAGCGCTACTTAATAAACTGGGCCTCGTATGTTATCATTTGAGTTTTCAAATGCATGTGGTGAGAATAAGCTATTGATGGGCAAACCTGCAGGTAAGTTAATTGCCCACACCCTTCCCCCTCCATGTTGCAAATTAACAACTGCTTTTCACCCACACCCCCATTCTTTCCATTCCATTTGTCTGCTGCGGTGAAGTGAAGTACCCAGCGACTCTCTCCTTACTCCCACAATGCAGTGCTGGATGCCTAAGTGGCAAATTGCCTGGCTCAAGTGCTGGCATGTTGAGGCACAGTGATAGATTAACTTTAAAGTAGCACTAAACTAGGGTGTTAAATATAAAAAATGCATTCACGTAAGTACCTTACCTATTAACAAAAATGTATCTTATTTGTGTATCCCTCAGCTGTAGATCCTCAAATCATCTCTGAATTGGTGCTGACACTGTCCTTTCTTCTGGAGGGGGGGCTACTTTTGTTCCCGATGGTCCCTGTGTGTGTTGTAAAGTAGCCACCTCTCCAAGCTCAAATGTTATGTTTAGTTTACTAATTTGTGCTGAGATTGCAGTCCATCATGGGTGCAAGCTTGGAGCGGTGACTACTTTACAACACACACAGGGACCATGGAGAACAAAAGTAGCCACCCTCCAGAAGGAAGGACAGTGTCAGCACCAATTCAGAGATGATTTGACGATCTAAAGGTGAGTGATACACAAATACGATACATTTTTGTTAAATGGGAACTATAACCATATCTTTAAAATAACAACAAAGGCACTTTCAGGTCTGGTTCACACTAAGGCTGGGTTCACGGTAAAAAAAACGCATGACCATCGCACGTTTGCGAGGGCTACCTGGCTGTATCCCAATGGATACGCGTGACAAAAACGCCCCAAAGAAGCTACTGTACTTCTTTGGGAGTAGGGTGTTTTGTAGCGCGTTCATACGGCCTGTAATACGCCCAGGTGTGAACCATACCCATAGAAAATAATGGGATTTCGGTGTTTGAGTGTTTTGCAGAGCCTAGGAATGCGCTACAAAACGCCCAGGTGTGAACCGGGCCTAAGTGTATTGTTTCAGCTCAATAAATGTGACAATATGCTTCACAAAAAAAAAATCACATTCATTCTTATGGGCCCTGTTCACATCTGAGCGTTATGTTGCAATAAGCAAAAGCCCTGTCGCTGGAAAAAGTACATGAGCTTCTTTTTGACAGATTACAGCTTGGTTTTGCAACTCTTGGAAACGGCGATGCAGTTGTTTTTGTGCGTGTTTTGCCTATTTACATCAATGTGTCACAATCTGCTCATAAAAACACGCAAAGATGCGTAAAAACGTGCAGCAAAAAATTTTTGTTTTTATGCACAAAACTGCTGTCGCCTACAGTAGATGTGAATCCGGGTTTAGAAATGTTTAGTAATGACAATCTACAAACAGATACTTCTAGATAATTGTCTGCTTTTTATTCTTTGCGTTCCTTATTTCTCTTTTCTTCCCCGGTCTTCTGACAGTGGCCATGTTAACTAAGGGCAGATTACTAGTTCTCCTTTTACTTTCTGGATTATTGGCACATGTGACTAGGACATGTGACCATTTACATCATCTCAGGGAAGGAAAATGCCTTTCCCTGAGATCACAGATGAGATTTCCCAGCAATACTCTGCTGATGTAACCTTCCCAGGATGCAATGATTGGGCACAATTACATAATTTGTGCCGAAGAGGACTGGGAAGTGGAAAAAAAATATTTTTTAAGTAAAATAAAAATATGTTTGTTTAACTAATGAATGAAACATGATTTTATATCAGGATTCAGAGCTGCATGCTAATGTGATTTTGAGTCACAGGGGGTAAAAGTCCACTTTAATAGTTAAAGGAGATCTATGGCTTAACCCTTTTAACCATGGTTCTCTTCAGGGTCACAGGAGGACACAGTATATAGCGCGCTATTGCCCACTGAATGCGGAGAGCGCAGAGGCGCGCCACAGCTGGGATAGATCCCGACAATACTGTCGCGATCCACCCCACTGACAGATTGACAGCTGGCTCGGCCTCTCCAGAAGCAGAGCCAGCTGTGCCCGCCCCCTCCACAATGTGTTCCTCCAGTCAGTGCTAGAGAAACAAAAAGGGAAAGGGGGTGAATCCCTGCTGGGGGTGATGACTGACAGTCACCATTCTGTACAGGGAGATGATCGGGAAGTCCGTCATCGACGGTATGTGTTCACTGACTTCCCGATCAATTGAGTGTTTTTCACTCACCCCATAAGTCTCCTTTTAAGGTACTTGAATTAATTTTTAAGGTTTAACTCCTGAGTTTAGTGTCACTTTAATGATTTGGAGCTTATATTTGGGCTTTGTCATGTCACTCCGACAGGTGAATTGGGTGGAGGGGGAGCGATCGTAAGGGAAATATAGAAAGCAGGCAATTAAGTGGACCTGTTGCATTGCCATTCACAGGAAGAAAAAACAGTTTGCTTTAAGGTGTTTACATTATAATCTTGGTCCTTTTAGGATGTGGCATACACTTATCTTTTAATTATCAAGAATTTCATGAGGGGTTTGGATAGATCGATATGTAAAGAGCAAATTACCTATGTCTACCCATGCCAGGAATTATTTTGGGACCAGTTATTTGTGGCTCCTTGATCCTGGAGTTGTTTTCAAAGCTTTTCTGGACTGTTCTGAAACAAGAAATAAGGTGGGAAATTTCATAACTCAACCTGTTCCAGCATACACGAGGACGAACATGCCGTAATGGATAGAATAATAGCAGCATAACATTCACAGCGTGTAATAAAATAGCATTAAACACTTGTATCAACGGACAGCACTGCCAGCGTCCTCGCTTACAGGAATCCTCCAGGCCGGCTCCACACTCTGTGCCATGCTATTTAAAGCATTCATTTTCAAGAACATTTTGTTTGCTTTACTGCTTTGAAAGTTTCGCATGCCATTCACTGGCTTGTGTTACTCTGTCCAATGGCAGTTTACAATGTGTTGTGATTGTTTATTGATGAAATTATAACATTTCACTCCTGTTGCTTAAGTCATTGACTTGTTGCTTAGACATTCCTAGCCTCGTAACTGATACCTGCCCCTTCTTCGCCCAAGGTTACACACGTCTTGTTAGCTTTGAGGTGTTAAAGTGGACTTGTCATTAAAATTCACACATTACATGAGTCAATGGGACCCATGTGAGCATTACCAAATCACATTGCTATTTTATGTTTAAAAAAACATATCTCTCTACTGCCATGAATGAAATACTGCTGCTCTGTGGCTCTTTGTCTAGGCAACCTCGATCACACGGTCTCTGGTCTCCAGTTATTACTGCAGAGAGTCTATTGTTTTCGTTTAGCAATGAGGATCGATTTTGTCTGGCCACAGGTGCATAGATAGTTACAAAACATATATAGAGACAATTAAATACAACTCGGGTGCATTAAAACAAAAGGTGTACAAAGTCTTAGGGCTCGTTCACACTAGCCCGTCTGATAAAATGCTGCTTTTTAGCGGGCACGCCAGTGCATTGTGGCAGCTCTGGGCACTGTGCATTATCTCTGCCGGAGCCGCCACTTTTTACATTTATTGGTAGTGAACAATGTTTCAGGGGCACCAGTAGTTCTTGCTCTTTGTGATGGTGAGGAGCACAAGTTGAAGGCTTTGTCCCTTTAGCATATTCATACACCCTCAAGTGTTCAGCAAAAGATTGGTGACCGTCTCACTGAAGATCAAGGGGGCACCAATCATGGAGTACCTAGGCAACCTTTTATTGCACGTGGAATCTAACTCAGAATTCGAGTCCAACCTATTCATCACCATTCGAACTCTGGAGGAGTTTAGATGGATTTTAAATCTCAAAAAGCCCTTGCTGGTTCTGTCCCTTCGTCTGGGGTACCAGCCCAAGGTGTTTCTGCTGTCCAAAAAAATACAGAAACTACAACTTCATGCTTGCCCACTGCATGCTTGCATGTGGTTGTCTATTCACAACTGCATGCACATTTTGGATCTTATGGTAGCAACCTTCAAAGTGATTCTTTATGTGCAACGCCAAACCAAAATGTTGCAGCACAAGATCCTATCAGATTGGAACAAGCCTCTGTCTCTGGACATGGTGATCAAGGTAATTAGTTGGATACAGTCCTCTATAGTTTGGTGGCTCTGCTGCTCCTCATCAATGCGTTGGAACTTAAAGAGATCAGGTGGGCCGTGCTTCATTGGATGCAGCTCTCGGAGGGACACCCTGTGCAGGAGCAGTCAGGCATTGCCGCAGCATAAGCCATCAAAGTGGAACCAAGAGCCTCGGTAGCCTCCACAGCAACAGTGGAGGTGTCATACATCCTGAGTTGGGGGAAGGTCACATGCTGGCCCTGTCTGCAGTACACTTACCAGGGGTTAAAAACTGGAAAGCAGATTATCTTAGCTTGAAAAGTTCTGGATCAGGGAGAGTGAGCCCTTAACCTGGAGGTCTTCCAACATCTCTACCTGTGATGGGGAACACCAGATGTCAATCTTCTGGCATTGCGCCTCAATCAAAAGTTTGCTAGAATAAAAGCGAGAGCAAATTACCCTTGGACAAATGTGTTGGGTACATTGGTGACTCTGTGGGATTGATACACCCTGATATATGCCTATCCACCGGTAAAGTTTTTGCCACAGCTCTTACCAAGAATTAACCAAGAATTGGCTCTGCATTGGTGTTCCCTTTCACTTTGTTCCAAGCCAATCCATGCTAAGGTTATTGTTTTACATTCTTTGGATGTATTCAGGGCAATTGGTGTGTATTTGAATGTCACCTAAGGGTTTTGCAGATCAAGTACCCTGTTTATGGTTGTAGACAGCCCACTTAAGGTAAACTTTGACTGCTACTATCTCACGCTGGAGTCGGCATGCTATTGTCCAACCATAGGTGATAAAGCACCAAGATGCTCCTTTTCCAGTTATGGCGCATTCTACAAGAGTGGGCTTTCCCCCGTCAAGGATTCATTTTTTTAGGTTTGTATTGTGGACACTTAGTAGTCAGTTCATATGTACACCACGTTTTACTAGGTGGGTGTGTCAGCTGATGGCAGTTTGGGGCATAAAGTTTTGCAGGCGGCAGTCTGACTGGCATGTGTTGTTTTCCTCTAGACTTTTAGTCTGGTTTTCCGTTTTATCTGCTTTGGCACAGAAGTAATGGTCTAAAGCTGAGCTGTGACCTCCAAACAATGAAAGGGAAAAAAAAGATTATTTTTACTCACCATAAAATCCTTTCCTCTGCTTTCGTTGCAGGACACCTCCCCTCTGGTTTTGTTGCTGCCCTTGGTTTAAATATGTTTTTCCATGTACTGCTGTGTTAATAGCGGGGTATGTTTCACAGTGTGGGGAGTTTTGGCCACCAGCAAGAGCTGCTCCTGAGCTGTCTTTTGTTTTTTAGCTAAACTTAGCTTCCTGCACCTGCAGGTGACACTATACCTAGTGTTAGTGATCTAAACCAGAGTGGGGTCCTCCAATAAATGCAGAGAAAATTATTTTATGATGAATAAAAAAAAAAAATCCTTCTTTTACTTTTGGATTTGCCCCTTCTTACTTCCCAGCTCTATGCATTGGCCAAGTAGTGCTTCAAAATAAAATCAGCCCTATTATTAGTTGATCAAGTTCTTTTCAAATCTTTGTATATAGCTATAGTTGTAAACTTTTCTTTTTACACATTTTCTACGGTGTTTTTTTATTTGCTTGCATTCCTTTTTTCTGCGTATTTACCAGTTTTCCACATTTGCAGTCTCCTTTTAGCCTAATCCACTTGTTTCAAATTTCACTGGTCTGTACTTTTGGAATTCCTAGCGTATGGGACAAATTGATGCTGGAAAAGCACTAATCTGATATGATATCCATCTCTTATCTACAGTATAAGAACATTTAGGCATGGTTCACACCTGGGCGTTTTACAGTGCGTTTCTACGCGCTGTAAAACGCTCAACATGTGAAAACCAATAATTGCCTATGGGCATGGTTCCCACCTGGGCGTTTTACAGCGCGTAGGAACGCGCTGTAAAACGCCCTACCCCCGAAGAAGTACAGGAGCTTCTTTGGGGCGTATTTGCCGCGTGTATCCATTAGGATACAGCCCGATAGCCCTCGGAAACGCGCGTTTGACGCGTGTCTCTTTTACTGCAAATTGCTGTAAAAACGTGCGGCAAACGCGCATATTCTGTACGCCCAGGTGTGAACCCAGCCTAAAGTGTATTAAAAAAACCCACATGCAGTACTTCTCTCCAATGCAGTCACACTTACCCATGCTTTATCTTTTTAAAAACCTTGCAACTACAAAATAAAACCTGTTGATCCTTCCTGTAATTAGTGAGCAAAGCTGTCTCTGCTGCACTGAAATCTTAAGGCTAGGTTCACACCTGCACTACACCGCCCCAAGGATCGCGCGGTCCTGTACAATGCAGGCAGCGATTGCCGCGTGGCCCCATTGATTTCAATGGGGTGACCTCCACGGGGCTTTTGCAGAAATAAGGTACAAGTACCTTTTTTTTTTTGCGATACACGATGCGTGGCTGTTTTAGCGTTTTCGGAACCACGAGCGGAATCCGTGTGATCAGCCTGGCGCGAATGGGGTGCCATTAGAAAATAATGGCACCCACAGCGCGATCGGTTCACACCTTGCGACTCCTTACCGCGTGGCAATCCGCGTGGAATCGTGCACGATTGCCGCGCGGTGAGGTGTTGCCTAGGTGTGAACCTAGCTCAGCAGTATTGTCAGGTGTGTTGGATCTTGCCCTGCTGAACTGCAGAATCCCTTCCCTTTATGTTATGTAGATAAGGAATATCGGGTGTTGCATAGTCCAGCAGAAAACCATTCGGGTAGAGCTGACACCACTGCTTGTTACCTCAATGCAGCAGAAGCAGTGTTGTCAGCTCACTACAGAAAATTAGGAGCTTGCTGGATTTCTGACAGAATCAACACATATATTTTTTGTACTGTATTTTTTTTTTTAAGAGCTGAAACATGGGGTGATGTGCCCGTATTGTACTGAAGGTTTTATTTTTTTTTTTACATTTTGCCCAGAGATACACTTTAATATGTAGTCTCATTCACTTCAATCTTGTATACGCTTTATGTTATGAACGTGGGAAATGTAGTTTTCAGTATTTTAAATCTGCAGCTGCTGGTCCTGCCATGAAAAGTCCTTGTTTAGCCATTTCCTGTATGGGGTGTCAGTGTTCTGCTCCTGTCACCTTATCTTGTGGGCTTCCAATGGAGACTAGAAGTGGGCATTTCAAAATAAATTACGCTGACACAGTCCACTGTTGTTGCCATCAGGAAGCGTACTCTGAGAAATGCAGCAATTGTTGGAGTACAGGAAGTGGCTGCAAAGAGACTGCAGGAGATGTGTTGCACTGCAAGGCAACAAATGATGGAAAAAAAGGTTAAAAAAATCAGTATTTTTCTTTTACAAAATGGCAATTGTTTGTTACACAGAGTTAGGAGACTGAATATCATTCTCTATACATCTACATTAATTCTACATTCCATTGTCTGTACATTTTATAAGGTAAAACATAATAAGTGTCCTTTCTTTCTTCAGTCATCAGATCAAGTCTCTGCAGTACAGCATTACCGGAGATGCTATTCTTGTTGTGGCTGGAAACTGTCAGGCAAAAGTGCTGGACAGAGATGGCTTCCCTGTCATGGAGTGTGTTAAGGGAGACCAGTATATTGTGGACATGGCAAACACAAAGGTAAGAGGAATGCAAAATAATCTCTGTACTAAACGTAATGTAACATAAGCAGATTATCATCGGAAAAAGGTTGCGTTAGTCTTTCTCTGATTTCATTGACTTGGCTCCATCCGCCTCTGGTAAAGCGATACCTGCTTGGATATCTAATGTCTGGGATGGAAGATGAGACTGAGTGAGATCGGCATCAATATGTATACCTGGATCCTTTATGATTGCTCCAGTGGCCATTTTGTACTTTTCCAGATCAACTCTATCCATCAGATTTGGCACATGGATGGTCAGATCAGTGTTGGATATCCCCCCTTCAGTCTATCATGCATGCTGCTGCTAGACTCATTCACCTAACCAACTGCTTAGTGTCTGCATCCCACCTCTGACAATCCCTGCACTGGATTCCAATAGCCCAAAGGATAAAGTTCAAAATATTAACAACCACTTACAAACCCATCCACAACTCTGCCCCCGGCTACATCTCAAACCTTGCCTCAAAGTATCACCCTAACCGTCCCCTCCGCTCTTCAAAAGACCTTCTGCTTTCCAGCCCCCTCGTCAACTCCTCCCATGCTCGCCTCCAGCACTTTACTAGAGTCTCGCCCATCCTATGGAACTCTTCACCCTAACCTGTCTGTCTATCTCCCACTCTGACTGCCTTTAGGCGATTTCTTAAGACTCATCTCTTCAAGGAAGCCTATCCCGCCTCAACCTAACCGCTCAACCATCACATTCTCAAACAATTCATCCCCACACAGCTACCTCCTCATGTATTACTTCCCAATTCCTTTTAGATTGCAAGCCCTCAGGGGCACGGGCCTCCTTACCATCTTGTCTTGAATGGTAATGTGATTGTAATGTCTTCCTTATATTGTAAAGCGCTGTGCAAATTGTTGGCGCTATATAAATACTGTATAATAATAATAATAATGCCTCTTCCTGCTGAAAAGATCTCTAAGGAGGCCTAATCTGCTGTTTATAAGATGAACTCCAGACAAACGGCTAAATACATAGATGAAATACATAAATGTGATCTGTTTTATCTGCCAAAAGCTTTGTATTTCTGTCCATCGGGTCCTGAGATTTGCACAAGTCTGCCACACAGCACAGCTCTGTCTGGCAGGGTAGGGAACCTAAATGTTCTGTGCTGCAGTTAAATAGCATTTACAGCTCTTGTATCTTACCCAGCTTGTGACTGGGCAGGGAATGGAGAAGCAGACGACTAAAGAGCTCCATCATTTTGCTTTTCCCCCCTATCAGTCTGCTTCTTGTTAGCACATGGGCTTCTCTCTTTCCCAGCCTGAGCTCTACTATACAGGGAATTGCAAGGGGCTGATATGCTAATACACTAGTTGCATTAAAAAATAAATGTAATGGGAATGCAGAGGAGCATTCATTTGTGTATTTTGTATTTGTTTGGAGTTCAGCTTTAAGATTGTTAGAAATCTGTTCTATTCACTGTTATTCCAGATCAGTGGAGTCAGCGTCTGTTAAAGGAGAAGTATTGAAAGAGTAAAATATACTCTTCTTAGTACTTAGAGCAAGCATGGGGCACTCCATCTGTCACATGCTGGCTTTATAGAGCGAGAGCTGAGTAATCATGAACAGCCGATCGCTCATGTCATAGTCCTCAGTCTGTCAGTCACTGCTCCCTGCAATGATTCCCACCTTCTCTCTTTCTGTTCCTCCAGCACTCATTGGAGGGGCAGACGTGAGGGGTGGGCACAGCTGGCTCTGACTCTAGAGAGGCAAACCCAGCTGTCAATCAGGTAGCGGGGTGAATCCCAACTATATTGTTGAGATCCTTCTCGGCTACAATGCAGTTCTGTACTATCAGCATATAGTGGGCAGTAGCTGGCTATATGCTGAGTTTGGGTCACAGGAGTGCATTAGTAAATGCTCTTCTGTGAACTTAAGCAATAAAATCGTTTTGGCTTAGTTCTCTTTTTATACCATGAGCTGTCATTTGTATCCTCATTCTCGGGGGCCCAATCACATCCTTTAGAGACATATATAGACATCCTTCTGTTGACAGGTGTCTGGAAGCAAAGAAGAATCATTCTCTGCTTCATAATTTCCCCATAATACATCCTCATGTCTATATTTACTATAATCTTTCCCAAAGCTCTCGTCTGTGCATTTAAGACTGCTCCCTCTGGCTGAGACTTTCATGTCTCTGGGAAGATCTGATGTGTGGTGGGAGATGATTGATTCTCATGGAAACAAATGGCCTGTGTACATGGGCGGTTGCGATGAAAGAGAGGGTGACGTCCTCGTTATGAGGGTGTGCTGAGAGCTACCTGGATGTCAGGTTGTGGGTGAATTGGAGAAGTGGTCACGGTTGCGGTCGTTTAACGAGAAGAGGAAGTTTTGTTAGTGTTAGCACGAGCTGAAGGATTTCAAGGCCAGTGGAAAAACATTAGACTTGTTTTGTCTGCCCTGGCTTTGGAGCTTCTATCAGTAAATCCTAGAGGGAAAAGAAAAAAAGTGAGCAAGAGTGGAATGGAAATAGTAAGTAAGGAAAGGGAATCCTGCCAGGCCCCATTTACAAGCTGATCCTTGTCAGAGATTATGGATGGAGGGACAAAGTGCAACGTGTTGGCTTTGCCGAAATGTGTTTCTCTGATTAATTTACTAATCACATAAGGCCAGAGCAACTCTGCATTCCACCAGCCTTACTGGAATAGGCCGTCATCTTATCAGTCCTCTTTTCATACATATTTGAAATTTGTTCATTTGGATCTGTCTCTTTTTTTTTCAAACTGCAAAACACAGAATTCGAACATAAACTCAATATGATCAAACTTCAAAAACTCTATAAATATGTTGTTACACTTGAAATTACCATCATACAGTGCTGCTTTTCCCTCCCCCCTATCTGAGCTCTGCTGTTAAGACTACAGGAGACTGCAAGTGGCTTATAGCAAGTCAAATTTATATATTTACACTGCTTTTATTTAAAAATTGCCTTTAATGATTTATTATTGATACCAGAGCTATAGTAGTTTGTGCCTTGTATATCTCCCTAGAGTTGAGCTTTAATTTTTAGATTGGTGGATTCTCATTCAGTTTAGAATAGGCAGAAATAAAAGCTAATTTCTAATGTTTGTTGTGTTTTGCTGCCGGCTATGCCAGCGTTGTTATTAATACTATTATTGCTTTATTTCAGGGACATTGTGCAATGCTTAATGGGGGATGCTGGCATCCAAAAATTAAAGATGAGTTTCTCACATGTTCCAATGATGGGTGAGTCTTTTCTTATATGTGGTGACATGCTATGACATTTACGTAGCTTCTACCCATAGACACAGGGCTGGCTATGTGTGCTTTTTTTTGTGTGTGTTTGTTGTATCTGTGAATGTTGAGTTCAACGTAAGGGTGTCCATACACTATAATAGGCTTGTTGGATGGTGGTGATTATGGATGCACCGATACTTGTATCGGTGCTGATACCAAGTATTTGGGCGAGTACTCGTACTTGTCCAAATGCTCCTATACCTTCCCGATACTAGAACTTGAAGTCTGAGGAAGATTTCCTCTGACCGGCAGCAGTGCTAAAGGGGAACATGGAGTCAGCTTCCCGTGCGATCAGGACGCTGGGTGGCGAGCAATGGCCCGCCTTCCGGCTTCCTGATTGACTGGGAAGCCGGCTTTCCAGCCAATCAGCATCGAGTCTGCTTCCTGGCCAATCAGGGAGGCGGGTCATCTCTCGCCGGCCGGCTTACTGATTGGACAGTAAGCTGGCTCGATGCTGATTGGCTGGGAAGCTATTTTCCTGCCCAATCACAATCAAGCCGGCCAAACAACATGGAGCTTCCTTCCTGGGCAATCAGGAAGCCGGGCTGCAGGTCGTTACCTGCCACCTGGCTTCCTGATTGCCCGGGAAGCCGGCTCCATGCCAGCCGAAGCACCGGTATCGGCGAGTACCGAAAGCAAAGTATCAGTACTCGTACTCGATACCGTAAAACCGGTATCAATACATCTCTAGTGGTGATTAATTAGTTGCATGACTGTTGTTGATTGGTCTGTAGATGGTTCAATAGCTGGCTTTCCTGTTCTAGCAGCGTGAAATGTGTTGGCTCTTTTATCCCCCTTAATCCCTTTATGCTGTCGAATACAATAAAGGTCTTCCGAGTACAGCGGCTGGTGTGATGGCCTGTTGTTGGAATAACTGCAGACCACCAGGGCATGCACTGAAATTTGGAATTATCATGAATTATTATGGCAGATTCATAATGGAACATGGCTTGGGCTGCATGTACACAGTTTAGCACAGGTGAAGAACAAGCAGTAATTGGCTTTAGGGGGGCCACTGAGTATATGCGGAGATGTACCTAACATCTAAGGCATACAGTATTAGTTTTTGTAGCTGAGACTTTTGGGAAGCTTTTTATTTCAAATTCACATATTCTTTAAATATCAGAACAAGCAAGCAGGTGGTTACTTCTCTTTATAATTAATTCTGATACAATATATAAAAAAACTCATCATGGAATCTGTTTCTCTTTAATTCTCCTTTAACAAACTCTACACCACATCCATCACTGACGTAACTTAAGATTTTAGAAATGCAGCGTACATTCTTGTTTGAAGATGTTAACAGGCTCCTTTTACAATAGGAGCGGCTGGCCATGTCCAAAAGGCCAGTCTTAAGTGTTTCATTTACTGTCAGCTATTTGTGTCTCATGACGGTTTCATAAAGTTTTCCTTTTTGGCCTAATCCTTTCCTAAATACCTTTCATGCCTGTGATCATCAGGTCATTAAGAGGAAATGCTGCAGGTTTTTTTAACGCTGGAAATGGTTTGTCTGGGTATGGCTGAGGTATTGTCAAGATGTGTCCTACACGGGGTCATGACATGGACTCACTCAAGTGCATCTCAAGCCATTTACTCCTTTCATTAGGGTCACTAAACCGCCCGTGTGCCATAACTTACCATGGAGTTCTTTTCTGTTGGCCTGTCAAGACATTTCAGGCTTCAAAGAGTTGGTAATTGTTTTCTCTTAGTGGTTAACAGCTCTGTTGCAGGGATTTCATTTTGTTCCTCTTTACATGACAGGCCTAAGCAAGTGCACTTATTTATCTTCAGTCTTTAGAAAGTCAGGAGGATTGAAGTTCTAGCGCCCGGATTCTTAAGCTGCCTATGCACGTATATTGAACCAGACAAAAACCGCTCGATTCCCCCTATCTGCGCTAAACGATTTGGATTAAGGAATCTGGCCTTTATATTCTGACAAGCTACCACCAGCAGCTGTAGAATACACAAACTGTGACTGCAGCTCATTGGCTGGAGTCGGTTTTCGGCCAACAATTTTCCATCTGACTACTTCAAATTTTGTTTGTTGAGCCAGATGGTGCCTACAGGGCACTCACAGCAAGAGTTTGTTGTCTATTAACAGGAATCTATATAATGATAATACAGCGCTATAGAAAACAGTCATTCAAAATTGGGATTGACCGATTATCGGTTATACCGATAATTAGGGCCGATATGCCCGCATTTTTTAATTATCGGTAAAATGTACTGATATTAACGATGAACACTGTCTGGTCGGCATCCCTTGATCAGCTGATCGAAGTAGCTGGTCAGTAAATCTATGTAGGAACAGAGGCGGCAGCATTAGAGCTGCCAGCTCTTTTCGTGTATTCTGCCAGCAGATAGCAGGGGAAGCAATAGCCAGCCTGCTATTGGTTATTTCAAATTACAATAGCCAATAGCAGGCTGGCTTTTGCACCCGCCCACTGCCTGCTGTCAATCAGCTGAGGAGCAGACCTGAAGGAGAACTTTATCCTTCATGTTCGATCCACTCATGATTGACAGCAGGCAGTGGGCCAGTTTAATAGACAGCCTGCTATTGCAATTTAAAATAGCCAATAGCAGGCCATCTATTGCACAACCCTCTGCCTGCTGTTTACATTCAGCTGTTGGCTGTGGAATCCTGCCGCCAGCAGATAAATGTGGCGGGGTGTGGGAGTCTCAGTAGGTGTCGGCCGATAGGCTAGCACAGCTGGATGTAAACAGAATATTGGTACCTGATTTTGGTTATCGGCCTGAAAGGTGGCCAATAATCGGTATCGGTTCCGAAAAATCGATATTGGTCGACCCTTAATTCAAAATATATGTACCATAGCCATACTACAACAGCAAATACAAGAAGTGTCCATAAACAAGATACACTGAGTGGCCAGATTATTATGACCACCTGACGTTTGTAGGCAAATTAGCTATAATTTTGCGCTGAAGTTGCTAGAGGGCCAGGCCTTTATAAATAGGGCAGCAGGTTGTTTACCACGACAGTAGAAGTGATTTTTTTCTGAAGATATGGGTAAACAACGCGATTTAACAGCCTTTGAACGTGGGATGATTGTTGGCGCTCGGAGCCATGGAGCGAGTATCAGCAAAACAGCAGCATTTGTTAAATGTTCAAGAGCAGTTGTTGTTAAAGTGTTTAAACACTGGACTGTCAGCCCAAAATCTGGGTCTGAACGTGCGAATTGTGGCCGTCAGCGACTAGTCAATGTTAGGGCAGAACGGAGAGTGGCAAGACTGGTACAAGACAACAGAAGGGCAACAGTGCAGTGTCAGATTCCTCGCATCACCGTTCAACATCTCGTGGAGTCACTAGGCGGCCCAACGAAGTACTGATGGGGTGGTCATAATAATCTGGCCACTCAGTGTATATTGTATTAAGAGTCCTATGTAGAAACATGTAATAACCCTGTGCTGTGATGCAATTATCATAGGTGTGTCTCAGTGCTTTACTCCACACATCCAAGTGATCAATGAACAAACTTTCATTGCAAAGCCGTGCTCCCGTACCCACACTTCGTTCTGCTCACCTTCTAATGTGGACCATATCCAAAATATTTTAGTATGGTCACTCGTGCCTTCCCACACACTGTGGGGACAATGGTCTGCTTCACCGGTAGAGGATATTGCTTCGCTACTCTGGCAAGTTGCTCATAGCAACCAATCAGCTTCTCTCTTCAGTTGGTTCAGTGAAGATTTGAAAATGAAAGCGGATTGATCGTCAACCATAATTTGTGCGGGAGTATTTGTGTATACCCAGCAATGGGCTGCTAGGATTTGCTGCTAGGTTGTAATTCAGCATTTATCAGTTCCATGTGTGACAATGATGTCTCATGCTCCCTGAACCACTTCTTTACAATTTGATCCCTATGAATCCTGCCATTGTCATCTTGGAATATTCTCGTGCCATCAGGGAAGAAAAAAATCCATTGATGAAAAAACATGGTCATTCAGTATAAAGAGGGAGGCATCTGACCTCATTTTTGGGGGACATATTGTTGTTGAACCTAGATATATTATCCAGTGGAAGGTTCTGACCTATGTACTTAGCTAAATCCAGGTGGTGACTTTTTTTGTTTTGGCCAGGCAGTGTGTATGTATAGTCAAAACTTCTTTTTTTTTAAACTTTTTCATGGCATGGCGTGGGGAAGGGTAAAATCCTCTTTAGTATTTTTTTTTTTGTATTTCTGGCTGTTTAACAGGTATTGTCATGTACTTGCAGTATATTTAAAAAAGAGAAACATGGGGAAATGTGATTAATTTGCATACCTGTAGCGCTTTTTTTTTTATTAATTGTCCCTGACACACATTGAAAGAGCATTTTTACTGTTCTAAAGCTAAGCATCACTTACAATAATTGTCATCACGTCTGATCAATGATCTCAGGTGTATATACAACTTCAGTTCTTGCCTTGCACTGCATTGCTCCTCTCTCTCCGCCAAGACTTTTAAGCAATTCATGAATGCTGATAAGTGTACTTTTTTTTTTTTTACTCTGAGATTACAAAATCGAATCACAGAGTGAAAGTAATCCTTTTAAAGCCATGTCTAGTTCTAGGAAATGATGCACACATGAATTTGCCTGCGTGCTGATAAAGCTAATGTGCTGCCGATAAGATAAGCTGCAGTGTTTATCTCTCTTGTAGTGGAGGCAAATTAAATGATTCTCAGACTTTTTATTAGTAATGCTTCAAGGCAGGGGGTCACCTCCCCTGGGTTCGGGTCATTAGCTTTATTAGCTTTCTGAAGAGCCTGTTTATTTAAAAGCACCCTCATGATGTTTGACCTCCAGCTATATATTCAAGAATAATGTCCAAGGGGTTTAAATCCATCTGCTGTCCTGATAGAACCAGGGTGATATCTCATTACCTGGAGGAAGTTGGAAATGCTCATTAGAAGTTATCAAAGAGGTGTAGATACACCTTAGGTTTCTGTTTATTG